GTATGTTCTTGGATGTTCACTGTAGGATTCTTTTTATTTTCTTTATATTGACTGTTAACATAATAACGTGATGGGCAAAAATTTAAAAATAGTCCTCAGTAGAGACATTATAAATGAATAAAGGAATTAGTGTTTAGTATTTAAATTATTTAAATGTATAGTCTAAACAATTGCTATGAATATGGTTATAAACCAAGATCTTCCTTCGGAAGGAACATTTTATAACATTTAAAAACTAGAAACCAAGTAGTGTTCAGTGACATAAATGTTAAATAAGTTGTCAAATAGAAAAAACAATAAGGTACAAACTACTTAGGCTATTGATATAATTTTTCTAAGAAACATGATCCCTGTGTTATAAAATAAACAATAAAGTCCCAGTAGGCACAGAAAATGAAGGAAAATAAGTATGTGAAAATGTTATTTCTTTTGTTATCTTTAAACCCACAGTATCCATTATTTTTTAATCAGAGAAATACCTGTTTTCAGTTCAAACTACCTGATAGATATTTATGAAATTTATACTCGGGTTAGCCTCACCCAGACCAGTTACTGGCAAGCAGCTTCTCAGGCATTGTTCAGAGCTCACATTGCCAAGAAAACAATGAGTAACTAAAATTAGTCACTAAATTACACAAAGCCCAAAGATTACAAATTCTCCTGCAGCCAATCACTACTCTTTTTTTTTTTTTAAGATTTTATTTATTCATGAGAGACACGGAGAGAGAGACAGAGACACAGGCGGAGGGAGAAGCAGGCTCCCTGTGGGGAGCCCAATGCAGGACTCCATCCCAGCACCCCAGGATCATGACCTGAGCCAAAAGCAGATGGTCAACCACCGAGCCACCCAGGTGCTCCCCAGTAACTATTCTTACTTGTCCAGAGCCTGGGTCCCTGTTGACCTGCTCTCACGGCACCATCTCCTGGAGGGCTTGGCCCTTTTGTGTCATCGTGTTGTGTCTCCCTATTTTGCAGGATACACAGACCATTCTTAGTTTGCCTTCATTTCATCCCACCTTCAGAAATTTTGCTAGCAGGTGTTTGGAAGGACTGTGACATGAATGCCATGACCACATCGCTTTCCATCAAGGAGATTGTTGGGGCAAAAGTTGAAGAAAGCAGTAGAATCTGTGTGGTGTGATAAAGTGAGAGCCATTCACCTTCCCAAAGATGTCCCATACTGATCCTGTGGTTTGTGTGATGTGCGTGCAAATTGCCAATAGTCTGTGCCCCATGGGCCTTGTGAATATGGTAAACATGTGTCCGAGGGCAGGGAGAACTTTTTTTATGTCTCTTTGCATTAAATGTTTCCCACCATGAATACATTTGGGCAACAAACAGTACCGTTTGGGCAGAAGGTAATGGTGTTTCCCTTAACATTTGGAAGGACGAGAAAAAAATGAACCACCTTGAATGTCAAAGGCTTGAAATACTTTCAGTGGTTTTGGTCCTCTGGTCTCCCCGATGACACTTAAAAAAAAAAAAAAAAACAAACAAAAAACTCTGCAAATAGTCGTGAATCATTGTGGTTTTTCGTAGCAGGTGTAACATTTCCAGTAGCAAGCAGAGTCCAGAAAATGTTTTCTGTTTCTCAATCTACAAATAGCTAACAAGTTGGAATCCATAAAAATAATAAGAAAAAGAGGGATAATTGTCAATTGAAAATTTCAGTCTGTCTCTGATTTGATCTGCAGCTAACACCTAATCTGAGCAAGTGGGAGTCCTGTTTCCTGTTGTGTTTTTATGTTGTTCTGTTACTACAGTTAGTAAATATGCGTTGGAAATATTTTGGCAAGAGCAGAACATGGGCTACAGGTTCTAGACATAAAGGGAAGATTGGGGGATGCCTGGGTGGCTTAGAGGTTGAGCATCTGCCTTCGGTCCAGGGTATGATCCTGGGGTCCCGAGATCGAGTCCCCTATCAGGCTCCCTGTATGGAGCCTGCTTCTCCCTCTGCCTGTGTCTCTCATGAATTAAATAAATAAAATCTTTAAAAAAATAAACGGAAGGTTGGGGACCCCTGATTTTCAGAGCAGTTCGTTCTGGAGGCAGAAAGATAGGGAATACAGGTAGCAGACAGTCCTTCTCTGTTTCTGTAATATTCCTAAGGCCTGTAAAATCAAAATGTTGTATTTGGCTAGAGAAATAGGAATTCATTGCTAGTGAACCCTAAGAAGGGAGGGATGTTTATTTCTTCCCTTTTCCAACTAGGCCATTCGAAGCGCTGGCCTTTCCTCTCTGTAGTCAAAGTGCCAGTTCCCTTAGCCCCTCGCCTTTACTCGCATTGTTAATTTCAGCCCTTTGGTGATTTTTATTGGCCATCATCCCTCCATCCCTTTTTGTGTATGTGACAGAGATCAGGTAAGTTGCTGACAGAAGGAAGCTGAGGTATTTGCTTTTTGAGTTCAGCAAACGTCAGAGTTGGTGGACAGAGCGCTTGGCCTCCACCTGCTGGTGGCTGGCATCACCGCAGGCCACACTCAGGTCTAAGTCACACCCAGCCAGGGGCGCCTGGTTAAATCATTTAGCAAAGGTGAGGTTGATGACCTATTTCAAGGTATATCTTGCAGAAGTAAAATCTGGTGCAAATTGATAGCTATTTAGAGCGCTAGAGATGAATCAGGGACTCGTCAACATTCGTATGGAGAGAGTTAAATTATTTTTGGCAACACCATTAATACTTCACAGAAATACATTCCTTTCTGGACATATATCAATTCAGTTGAGTGTAAAATCCAGTCACTAATAGTGTGTGCTTGGCACATATAGGTATGGAAGGATTTACGCATAATCACTTGAGGGAGTAGCCTATTAAACAACATAGTTGTCGCTTTCCCATCTATCATGATGTGTATGTGTGTTATGTGTGTGTGGGGTGGTGTCTACTGCTCTGTTTGCCCATACCATCTGCATGATATATGGTCCATCTGGTCTGAAACCAGGGGGATATTCACACTATAGGTGTGATTTTCCAAGCAGATGGAAAGCATAAATAACTTGGAATTATGGTAACACAACTTGCTTTCTACATTTGAGCCTGAAAGTCCATTGTAGGCACGTTGTCTTTACGTATATAGTTTCTGCTATGGAAGAACTTGGCCAGGTAGGCCTTCGATGCTGGAAAGAGCCTGTTCATTTCTTCAACAATAAAGCTCTGAGCAATTGTTCTCTGTTCTTCCTGGGATGAAGATGCCTTGCTAGTTTACATTCCGATTCTTACTCTCTTGATAACATCAACAATACATCCTTACAAAGACCAGTGTTTATATAAAACAAGAGATGAAAGTCTCTTAAGTATTTAAACACACTTTCTATTAGGGGGATTGGCGTTCACCAAAATCTGAATTCCCACTTCAGTAATTGTTAGCATTTAAATTCGCTTTAAATGAATATATTATGATTCATATAAAGGATTACTTTTCTGAACCCAGTACCTTAAAGACAAGATGGGGAAATTAAAAAAGAAAGAAATGGTACATCGTGGCTCGTGACCACGTTTTCAATCATTGCACACTTTGCATGGAGAGCCAAATTTCTATAAGAGAGGCAGGTAAATTTCCAAAATATAAGTAATCCTTGGCCATATGACAAATAGCGTAGCTGTTAGCACTATATTTCATCCCGAAAGTAAAATGTTATGTTGTAGAACAGTGGATTCCGTGGCAGGTTATTTTTCTTTAATGTGTCACCTGTAAATGTGAGTCAGAAGAAAGGTTTTTAAAAATGTGTTGCTCTCACCTTCTGCATCTCCCACTTCTGATGCCCAATCTCATAGGCATTGTCCATTCTCTGGTCTGGGTCTGAGAGTCAGTATCAGCAACACTGGAGCTTTCTTAACCCAGCAGAACAAAATGGGTAGAATTTATTCAATAAAGAAGAGGAATGGCTAAGCTAATCACATCAGATAGCAAGATCAATTTTTGAAATACGTGTCCTGGGTGTATTATAGACCAATCCAATAGTCTTCCTCTGTCTTTTCGGATTTGAGCTTCTCGAATCAGGCCTGCCAAACTGATGTTAGAGTCTTAGATGTGTGCTCTATAACCAGTCTGCTCAAAGCTAAAACTTTTTATTGCACTTTCTTTATTTACCTATTGCACATTTTTAATACTTATTTTGACCATATGCAACCTTAGAAAATTCTCATTTTTTTTTCCTATTTCACTTCTCCTATTAAAAAGACCTAAAATTTGATGGGATTTTTTTATAATGCATATTTCAGAACAAAAATTATTTATTTGCCCTTCATTCTCAAGAAGTCTCATTAAGAAAACTCCCCAGTATATACTTTTTTTTGTGAATGTGATTTAGCTTCTGGGACCTTCCCCATGAGGATTTTAGAGTTTATACTGAAATGTGGTTTTTCTAAATTCTGACTTTGCATGATTAGGCTGCCTTTCTTAGGTAGCTTTCTTCCATGGTCCAGGTTTGGGGGTGAGACCCCTTCCATTCTGTGACTCTGGTGTCTTGTAGGGTTTTGTGACCACCTGCTTTCAGGCAACAAAAGTAGAAACAGCTTGTAAAGGAGACCACCTAGCCCATAAAAGCCATGTGTCTAAAATGACATATGTCACTTCCACTCAAATTCCATTCTCTGAACCTAACTGCAAGGAAAGCTGAGGAATGTAGTAGCATCATTGTGGGCCCAGAAAGAAGGGTAGTCATTTTTTTTTTTAACTGAAATACAGTTGACACATCATGTTCCATTAGATTCAGGTGTATGGCCTAGTGATTCCACAAGTGTTTTATACTCCACTCAGCTCAAGTAGAGCCACCATCTGGCACCCTACGGTGTTACTATGATACCCCTGGCTATGTTCCCATGCTGTGCCCTTTATTCCCTGGAAGAGAGGATGGAGGGCAGACTCGCCCTGCCTGCATCCAGGGCTCTGGTACCTTACACATCCTCATCTGATGAACCTCCACAGTGGGGCTGGGTCTGGCCCTTCTTGTCGCCCAGGCACATACAGACATGACCTGACTGGTCATACGATTTGCAGGTTATACCTGGAATGGATGCCGACGTGACTGTTGGAACCTCCATGTTAGCAGCCGAGGAGGCCCTGGTGGAGGAAGCAGAGGTGGAGAAAGCAGTTCTTCCTCCTGGTGAAGGAGCAGGTGTAGAGGAGGCCAGGCCTGACACTGAAGCCACACAGGCCGTAGATGGTGACAGATCTCAACTGGAAGAAGCAGAGGCAGTAGCCCCTCCGGTAAGTGTCCCCAGGAGGGGGGTGGGTGGAATGCTGTTTACTGGTTGGTGCTGGTAACAAGTCTGGGCACAGAACAGGTTTGTGGCCATTGTGTGGTACCCTGCTTTACCACATACTATATATAGTATATATATATAATAGTATATATATGCGCACTCATGCATATATACATGACATGTACAATTTTAGGTATTTTAAATTTATTTTATTTATGTATATTACTTGTATTATTTATTATTATTTGTGTATTTGCTTATGAGATTCTCAGCAAGAGTGGGCCTGGCTTTCTCTGTGTCAGTGTCATGAGGTCCACACAGGCCCCTAGTGATGGAGAAAAAGAATAAACCTTGGACGATGTACAAGTGAGGTGGAGGGAGGAAGAGAATGTGACCAGATGATGGGGTTGTTGTATGGATGACCTGAGAAAATGCTTAGCCCAGTGCCAGGCACATGAGGAGAACCCGATATCCATAGTTAAATCCTATCATTATTTGTGGTATTTAGGGGTCGTTATTATCACTAGAGTGCCCACAAATTCACCAGTTGGTGCTTATTTCTCCAAAAGCATATCCCTTTTGCACGTTCAAGAGCCAACAGGTCATTAAATACACACACGAAGTTGCCGGATTAGCTCCAGCTCCTCCCTTCTTCAGAGAAGTCTTCAAAGTCAACAAACCCATATATTCCATGACGTGTGTGTGTGTGGGGGGCACACAGCAAGGGCCACCCTTCTAAACCCCATGCTCGGTCTAGATTCCAGAACATAACAATGACAAGTGGGCTCTCAGTGTTATGCTTTTCCTTTGTCCTGATTCGTTTACTCATAAGAAATTTCCCCCAAATCTCTCCAGGGTTATTCAAAGCTTGAAACTAAATGATCCCTTTCATCCCACTAGAAAAACAGCGGGTAGTATTGGTATTTGGAGAAATAACTCAACAGTATGTTCCATTTGTTCTTGAAATTTTCTTGTCACGATGCCAGAAGTGTTTTTATATGATATTGTTAGACTTGTTGAAAAAGCGCATTATTTTCTCCAAATTGAAAAATGGAAGTGTTTAAGCCCGCTGGTATCTGAGGGAATATAGAACTTGATCTGAGAGGCAGTAAACATCTCCAGACTTCCACCATGCTAGGGAAATTTGTCTCCTTGCTTATCTTTGTTACAAAATAGGAAGGAGATCTCAACCCTTTGGTTCTGCTCCCCGCAAGAGTGGAGCATCCTCGGAGTGGTTGGTGGGCACTGTCATCCCTCCAGCTGTAACGGCAGCGTGGGCTCTCACGGTGATCCGCAAGCAAAGCAGACGGAGATTTTCTCCCAACACAAGCCAGATCTGTCCTAACAACATGGTTGCTGGCTCTTCAGGAGTCCCCTGGGCTTCTGGGAGAAAGGCAATCACAGGAGGTTAAATGTCAGCTTCGGGCAGTGGAAGTATTCAGTGGGACAAGAGAGTGGTCCATGGCAACGATGAGGCCATTGCTGGAAGCACTTCAGGATTGTCTCTCCACCCCGACAGGTCTCCCCCTCCCTCCCTGCAGCCTCCCAGCCTTCTTCCCAGTTTCCACAGGACCCCACTCTTCACAAACTGCCTTGACTGCTCAAGGATGCAGAAAGAGTCCTAAGGGTTTCTATCTCCGGAGAGCTAGGAGGGCGGCTGTGTCAGGAGGAGGGTCCTGCAAGGCTTGAGGCCCAAAGGTTTGGGCCAGGTTTGGGGAACGGCAGGCGTTTTGCTGAATGGAGGAGGTGGGGAAAGTGGGAGCCACGGAGGGTGGGTCGGCGGTAGAAGCAGCCCATGGCACCCTTGAGGACACAGAAGTCTTTCTTCCCAGCCCCTGCTCAGCACCCCCACATTTGTCTTCCTCCAGGAGAAGGTCATCCCTTCGGTCGTCATAGAGCCCGCCTCCAACAATGAAGGGGAGGGAGACCACGAAGCACCTGCAGGTGCAGAGTCCATGGAGACCCCCGCTGCCGCCGCTACTCCCAGCCCCACCAGTGAGCTACCGGAGCTGGCCCCAGAGCCCAAGGCGGGGGAGGACTCCCAGCCGCTGCCCTCTGCTCTGGCTGCGAGTGAGGAGTCTCTGGAAGTGCCTCCCGGCTTCCTCTACAAGGTCTTGCCATTTGTTATTGTTTATTTGTGTTTTGTTTAGTTTGGTTTTTTTTTTTAATATTTTCCTGAATTTAGTATGCACCTCATGTTGCTGTGAGTTTTTTGTTTTTGTTTTTTTTTTGCATTTTAAAAATTTTACTTAAATTCAACTAATTAACATAATAATGCATTTTTGGTTTGAGAGGTAGGGTTTGGGGATTCATCAGTTGTATACAACACCCACTGCTCATTAATTACACCACGTGCTCTCCTTAATACCCATCACCCAGTTAACCCATCCCCCCAGCCACCTCCCCCTCAGCCACCCTCAAGTGTGTTTCCTATCATTAAGTCCTTATGGTTTGCTTCCCTCTCTGATTTTATCTTGTTTTATTTTTCCCTCTTCCCCCATGATCCTCTGTTTTGTTTCTTAAATTCCACATATGAGTGAGATCATATAATAATTGTCTTTCTCTGATTGACTTATTTCAATTAGCCTAATACCCTCTAGTTCCATCCACAGTGTTTTCATCTGGTGGCCCTTTGTCCGTCCTCTGCTTTGAGGTGCTTTTGCTGGAACCTCTGGTTTTCGGGTGTTTACTTCTGCATTTTGCAGTATGTATTCTTTCTCTGTACTGCTGTCCCCACATCACATTGTAAAATGGCAGGATTTCCGGCTGCTGCACAAGCAGCAATGACAGTAATGACTTTCCATTGTTCAGCAATCCATAGTTAAAGTTCGCCACAGGACAAATGATATGTCCCTTGGTAGTGAGTGGGTGAAATCTTCCCCCACCCTGCCCCCCCGAGTGGCCTCCCATGCTCCTCTCAGAGCCCTGTGAGTCCCTTCAGCCCTGGGCTCAGACCTCAGAAATCCTCTGTGTGTGCACCTGCTTCTGGGCTGGATTATACACCAGCCAGCCTGCCTGGGCCCACCCCGGCTTCCCTCCCTAAGTGCAGTGTGGCCTGAGGAACATCACTCCTCTCTCTGCGCTTCAGTTTCTCAGCAGAAGAGTGAGTTGGGGAATCAGTCATTTCCAGCTCTGACATTTTATGATTCTACATGCAAAATACACATTTTAATAGCCAATCGCTTAATCCTCAGGGGTTCAGGGCTGAGGGGAGGGACATGGGGGAAATAACCCATCCCTGATGGAGTAGTTGCTCAAGCTGGGTAAGTATGTGGGTCATTAGACTGTTCTTTCTACTTTTGTTTTTTGAAAGTTTCTTATCAAATTTTAAAGAAATCTTTCAAAAAAAAGGGTTAAAAAGGATAAGGGGGAAAGGACAGGTATTGTTTAAGGGTATAAACTTGCAGTGAGTAGTAGGTAAGTCCTAGAGATCCAATGCACAGCATAGTGAATATAGACAACAATATTGTATCATAATCATCAAACTTGCTCAGAGACTAGATCTTAATTATTCCAACCTGGTAGAAAGAAATGATAATTATGTAACATGATAGAGGTGCTCAGTATCGGAACCATGGCATCCTATTACAGTGTATACATGTATCAAATTACCATGCTGTGCAACTTTAATTTGCACATTGATGTTTAAATTTTGTTTATTTGATTAAATAATGTCTACACCCAAGGTAAGGCTCAAACTCACAACCCCAAGATCAAGAGTCGCATGCTCTTCCTCCTGAGCCAGCCAGGCACCCCAAATATGTTCTAGTTTTTTTAAAAAAAGAAAGAAAAGAAGCAGATTGGCTTGGTTTAAAAGGTAAGATACGGAAGGAAGTTTATAAAGGAATTGATCACTGGGTTTAATTAAATAATAATTCCCATATAACATGGGAAGTGATGATTTTTTCCAACTATTTTTTTAATTGTTATATGTACAATTTTATTTTTATTTCATATTTTCGAGGAGGGGCATTGGAGAAGGGGTAGAGAGAAATGGAGAGAGAACCTTAAGCAGGCTCTGTGCTCAGTGTGGAGCCCAACCCGAGGTGCACTCTCACCACCCTGAGATTGTGACCTGAGAGCCAAAATCAAGAGTCGGATGCTTAACAACTGTGCCACCAGGCACCCCTGATATTTCCAGTTATTAATTACTGACAGAAGTGGAGTTAGAGGAACTTTCTGCTAGACACTTCTATTTTTAGTTCAAGTTTAAAATTTTTTTAAAATTTTTTATTTATGATAGTCACACAGAGAGAGAGAGAGAGAGGCAGAGACATAGGCAGAGGGAGAAGCAGGCTCCATCACTGGGAGCCCGACGTGGGATTCGATCCCGGGTCTCCAGGATCGTGCCCTGGGCCAAAGGCAGGTGCTAAACCGCTGCGCCACCCAGGGATCCCCTAGTTCAAGTTTAAAGATGGACAATAATAAAGTATCAGTGATAGTGAAATGTAAATACCTAACAAAAATATGATGAATTAAAATTTAATTAGTGTGCAGTACACAATTTCAACTCTTGCAGAAGGCATTGCATTGCTAAACATACATCCAAATTGTCTCAGTGTCAGTCTTCAAACATTGAATGTTTTAAGGAAACAGGACTTCCTTTCTATGTTTAGAGGCCTTCTCCCTTGGGATATGCAAGGATCATTGTCTTTTTTGTTCAGCTTGGAGGGGCTTCAAGCCTACCAGTCCCTGCTGATAATCTGGCTAGGAGACTTCAGTGTTACATTTCCTTTTCTTTTTAAAATGAGTAAACTCTTTTAAAATCTTTTGCAGGTGGAAACACTGCACGATTTCGAGGCAGCAAATTCTGATGAACTGACCCTACAAAGGGGTGATGTGGTGTTGGTGGTCCCCTCAGATTCAGAAGCTGACCAGGTAAAGAGTGAGACAGAAAGGTTCTCCGGGCTCTCTTGTTGTTTTTCTGAGCATCACTGGGACACAGTGACCAACTGAAAATATTTCTATTTTCTGAGATGCTACAAAGCAGCATCTCAGAAAAGGGCTTAGGCCTGATGAGCACAGGACATGGCTAACTTTTTCTCGTTAGGAGATCTCTTTTGGGGATACTATTGCATTGTTTCTTTTTGATACAAAGAGATGATCATTTCTTACTTTGCACCCACTTTTTAGGGATGTGTCTCTGAAACGCAGTCTTTAGGAAATGTAGCCACTAGATGTACTTAAAATCCCTTTGAAAAGTGTGGAGATTGACCAGGAAAGAACATGAAGGAAATTCCTGGGGATGGAACCATTTTCTCTCTGAATAGGGGTGTGGATTACATGTGTGTACTCATTTGTCAGCAGTCACTAAACTACACTTAAATGATATTTGCATTACCCAGGATTTAAACTATACCTCAGTTTTATTTTATTTTTTTTAATTTTTTTTTACTTATTTATGATAGTCACACACACACAGAGAGAGAGACAGAGACATAGGCAGAGGGAGAAGCAGGCTGCATGCACCGGGAGCCCGACGTGGGATTCGATCCCGGGTCTCCGGGATCGCGCCCTGGGCCAAAGGCAGGCGCCAAACCGCTGCACCACCCAGGGATCCCCAATACCTCAGTTTTAAAAGTCTTAAAATGAATCACCTTTGAGTGTAGTTTTCTAATGTGAAGATGCTGAAAATTCCATTTTGTTCTTATTCATAGGATTTGTGAGCCTCTTAATAGTACGCAAAACGTGTAAACGTGCCTAATAACAGGTTTTTCTGGAGAGAAGAGCTATAATCTCCATAGTATTCTCAAGGAGATTTCTGAGCTTTCTCCTCCCAAAATAAAGTCACTACTTTAGAGGTTAAGGCTGTCTTCCCATGCCCCACATTTTGCCTTTCTCTTGATTATACACTTACCAAGATAGAGTAGTTTCTGCGTCAAAGTCTCTACCGCAATAAAATTAGAGATCAGTAGCAACAATAATAGCTTTAACAGCTCTAAATATTTAAAAAATTTCAAAATATACTTCTGAATAATCTAGATCAAAGAAATCACAGTGTAAATTTTAAAAAAATACTTCCTAGTGATCATCGAGTTCTAAGTTTTCAGCCTAAGAAAATAAAAAATGATCACATTAAGTCCAAAACACACAGAAGGAAGAAATAATAAAAATAAATTCACAAATGAATGCACTAAAAAGATACACAATGGAGAAAATGAGTAAGTCAGGAAGTTAGTTCTTTGAAAGGATTAATAAAATTGTTAAAACCTCAGATATACTCTTCAAGGCAAAAAGTAGCAAAACATTAATTACCAGTATCAGGCAAAAGTGTCCTACATATCTCAAAATCATTAAAAACTCCATCATATAAACTCACATTTTTTTTTTTGCATTAACTGTAAGTTGTTTTAAAGACATTAAGAGCAAAAAAAGCTAGTCTTATGTCTACCAACCTGTTTATCATTTCCTGGACTCTTCCTGGTTCTTCCTATAGATCTGAAGTTTCTATCTGGTTTCATGTCCTTTCTATGTGAAAATTTTTTCTTTCTATTTTTTTTAATACTATTCTTCAGAGTGCTTTGGCTTTTTCCTTTTTTTTTTTTTTTTAAAGATTTTATTTTTCAGTAATCTCTACACTCCGCGTGGGGCTTGAACTCACAATGCTGAGATCAAGAATCCCAGGCTCTGAGCCGGCCAGGCACCCCTGCCTGAAAAATTTTCTTTACTAATTCCTACAGTGCTTATCTGCTGGCAATAAATACTCTCAGCTTCTGTTTACTGAAAATGTCTTTATTCACCTTCATTTTTAAAAGATTTTATTTATTTATTTGAGAAAGAGAGAGAGAGCACGAGTAGGGGGAGTAGCAGAGGGAGAGGGAGAAGCAGACTCCCTGCTCAGTGGGGCTCAATCCCAGGACCCTGGGATCATGACCTGAGCCAAAGGCAGGTCCCCACCCAGGCTCCTCATTCATCTTCATTTTTAAAGATATTTTCCCAAGACAAAGAATTCTGAGTTGACTTTTTTCTTTCAACTCTTTAAAGATGTTTTTCCATTGTTTTCTCTTTTCTGCTCAGCTGCTATTTGTTTAACATTGTTTCTGGGTATCCACTGTGACTTTGTCCCTGACTAATTTTAAGAATTTTTCTGTATCGTGGCACCTGGGTGGCTCAGTGAGCCTTCAGCCCAGGGTGTGATCCTGGAGTCCTGGGATCGAGTCCCACATCGGGCTCCCTGCAGGGAGCCTGCTTCTCCCTCTGCCTGGGTCTCTGCCTCTGTGTGTGTGTGTGTGTGTGTGTGTGTGTCTCATGAATAAATAAAATCTTAAAAAAATTTCCCTATATGTTTGGCTTTCATCAGTTCAACGTAATGTGCTTAGATCTTGGGGCTTTTTTTTTGTATTTTCATTCTTGGGGTTCACTGAAGTGCTTAGATTTGTGACCTGATCTTTTCCGTAAATTTGGAAGACTTTCAGCTCATATTTCTTAAATTCTGTGCTGCCTCATTCTTTCCCCTCTTTTAATGATTCCCTAATTACATACCTGTTGGACTCGTTGATGTCAAAGACGTTTCTTTTTTTGTTCAATGTTTATTTCTTTTTGGATCATTTCTTCTGATTTGTCCTCAATTGCAGTGACAACTTTTTTTCTGGTTGTGGAAAGCTTATCCAGCGACTTTTTCATTTTGGATGCTATGCTTACACAATTCTATAACGATCATGTAGGGTTTTTTTTTTTTTTTTTTATTTTAGTTGCCATTTCTTTCCTGAGATTTCCCATCTATTCTTTCACCATTGCCGTCTTTTGGTGGCAGGTACTTGTACATATTTGTAATAGCCGCGTTAATTTCTTACCACTAATCCCAAAAAACTAGCCCATCTCAGCACACATTTACATCAGTTGCCTTTTATCTGGGGGGGCTACATTCCTCTTTATTCTCATATCTATAGTAATTTTTTGTTATTAATACCGGACACATTGTAGAGTCTGGATTCTATTTTCTATCTCTGAAGCTTGCACCGCCCCCATAGGAGACATAGAAGTTACTAGATAATTAGCTTGAATCTGTGGAGCTTTTGTTTTATACTTTGTTAGGGTGATTTTGCTTCAATTTTGCCTTGACTTTTAGGATGAGTTCTTAGTCCTGAGACATCTTTTACTTCTGAAAACGGCCCTTCTGGGATTTTAGTAGAAGTCCTGAAGCCTCCTAACTTGGTGGGACTCAGACTCTGGACTCCGCCTCCCCTCCATGGGCAGGGCTTAAATTTCTTCTTAGCTTTCCGGCCTTTCTCCCAGACTCCTTGGAGGAGCTCCTGTATATTCACAGACTATGGGAGAAGCTCAGGATTTTAGGGAAGTTTCGCATATTTGGGAACCTGCCTTTGTACATCTCTTCTTTTCAGGGTATCCCCCTTAAAAATACAGGGGAAGCCCTCCACTCCTCCTTTGAATGCCCTGCATCACAGAGACTGAGGATAATCCTCAGGAGGAAAGCCTTATTAGCTCGGATCTCACCCAGTACAATTTCCTACTTTCGGGGATTAAATATTCTCCAGTTTTTGCTGGCTTTGGGTCACTGCAGGTGCCTTCAAATAGTTGTTATATATATCAATTCTATTACTTGTAACAATCCCATTGTATAAACTTTAGATTATATATTTTACGTCATTTCCATATATAAATAGTTGCATATATGCATACTTATGTATATAGATACGTATAAATATATATTCTAGTGTTAGTAATAGTTCTGTGCAGAAGCATTTATCTGATACAAGCTATTTTGCCACTGCCAGAACTGTAAATCTTTCTTCTACCACATATTTTAAGCAGTTTAAATCTAATTTTCCCTATTTGCCTCAGTTAGGGATTGATCTTGGCCAGTCCTTTTCACTTTACTATATAAATTGTATTTCAGAATATACATGTTAGAATGTATTTTGATTCTGAGTTTGTGCCAGTTCTTATTTTCTTTATTGAAACCATTTTAAATGCATGACTCGACTCCAGTAGATTTTTCACTCATTGTAAATACAGTCAAATGCAGACACTTGTGGGGGAAAATATGGCCTTTTAGATGCTTGCTGAAGGTTCAGAAAAAATTTAGTTATCATCTTTTACTTTAAGTATAGCTTCGCCCTTCACAAATATAACATCATAATTTTAAAGAGGACACTCTTCCTCCTAGCTAGGATCATTATCAGTCATTTTATTGAGTCATCTTTTTCTTTTTTTTTTCCACTTTCAAAAATTGGCCTGTCTAAATGCTTATATTGCTTGTCTATATAACAGCATCAATTTATAGTCTCAGATTACATCAAGAGGGAATGTATTCAGCTTCTTTATTTAATTTTGGAGACCTCATTTTATCTGATGTACTTGAATTCTGTTGGGAATTGCTTCAGATTAAATCTGGCCATCCCTCATCCTAAGTGGGATCTCTTTCATGTATTGGTTAACATAATAAAGACAAGTCATTTCCCACTAGTTTTGCATTATACGGTCTGTATGTTTTGTGCTGTTCCTTCCACTCACGTTTTCCAACTAGGCTCTGCTTATCTGCAAGAGGCCAAGGGCGAATACCAGCCTACGTTCCATGGCTTCATTTCTATGATGATGCTCCTATAAGATAGACAACGTTTATGAGGAATAATTTATAAAGAGTATATAAAGAATATATGATGTTTCCAGCAAGAGTATCATGGCAACATACTGCCTTGTAGTTCATATAAACTTGAAAAATGGGATATTATAAATGCAACAACATACACAATGGCAAGAGCAGGTACCCAGATCTAGCAGTTATTATTTGCTGTGCTTTGGGTGTGGTGGATTATTTGGGTCACATGATGTGAGCTGGGGGCACAGAGTTCTTTCTTATAAGCAGGTGGTTTGGGATGGAATATGAGACCTTCCAATGGCTTTGCACTCTATTCTGACCTGGGTCCTAAAGTCACTTCTTCACTATGACCCACAGGATAGGGAGCGTTCTTGGGCATGACATATATTCAAATGGTTAGCATTCTAATCCTTTTCTCTTCCTTAAGAACTCATTTCATAATCCAGTTAATGAGCTATACTTTACACAAAATTGTACTATTTGTATTAATGTTCAGTTAGCTTGCTCAGATTCAAATGTTTATTGTTTTTTTGTTTTGTTTGTTTGTTTGTTTGTTTGTTCTCACCTAACAACTTCTTTGGGACAAGCCTTCCCACTGACCTGTCCCAGCACACTGGTTTATATATCATGTAATATACTGGTGCAGGATCACAACACTAAATTATTTTGTTAACTGTTGGCAATGCAGATTTTTCCAGTAGTTCCTTGGACCTTGAAAGCTCTCTCTTTGTCTTGCAGGATGCGGGCTGGCTGGTAGGAGTGAAGGAATCAGACTGGCTTCAGTACAGAGACCTTGCCACCTACAAAGGCCTCTTTCCAGAGAACTTCACCCGACGCCTGGATTAGGGCCAAAAACATATTGTAGAAGGAGCCTGGTTATTGGGTGTTTAATCCTTCCTGAAAACCTGAAGAGTTCACTTTTGCTATTACACTTTTAATGATTTACAGGCTGGTGCCAGACAAAGCTTGGAAAGATAGATCAATGGTGCATGTGTGCAAAAAAAAAAAAAAAAAAAAAAGAGAGAGAGAGAGAGAGAGAGAGAGAAGAAAAAGTAAATTACAGAAAACTCACTGGTTCCCACGTTATCTGTAACTGGTTTATTTGTGCTTTGTCCAAGCTGTGGAGACTCTTGTACTTGATCCCCTCCCACCAGTTCTAAAGTAGCTTTCTCCAGACCAGAACCTTAATTTCTCTGCCCCGATTGTATGGTCCTGAGTGGCTGCCCTGCGGAAGACGTGATGAATTATCCTGTAGTACGAGATTATCTGCTGCCCCTGCACAGGTGTGAGCACGTGCGCTCTCCCTCTTTCCAGTTTACTGTGTTGACTAAACTGCTGCACACGTTTTCAGTGTTCTTTTCCAACACCTCTCTCTATGTATATGGACACCCAGTGACACATGCTCGTTCCCATTGCTCCCGGATCTATGTGTATGCACAGTGCTACATATGCATAGCAGCTTCCTCTCGTCCCATTGTAGCTCTTTGCCTCTGGAGTGTCATTGATACATGCATCGCTCTTGCTCTGTCTGGCATTACAGTTCCAGTTTTGCCTCCGGGCAAAACCAGCCATCCCATTGCCAAAACAGTTGACAGTATCTGTGTTTTGTAAAGTGCATTTTTCAGGATGCAATGACCAATAGCATGTCAGGGCTGCTGTCCCTTTGGCAAAAGCAGAGCCTCGCTGTGTAGGTCCAGCTGCTGTGGCTGGAGGTAAGCTAGGTGGGATGAGCAGCTATGTAGTGTTAACAAACTTCTGCCTTTCTACGATTGGCTGGTTCATGGGGCGTAAAAAAATCCACCCCCAGAGAACACTATTTAAAAAAAAAAAAAAAGCTCCTATTTCCAACTCTTTATATTTATGCAACTCATCTTCACAGATTGTCCTAAAATAAGATAGGTGATGTATGCTGTATCCACAAATCATCTGTAACAGTTATGTTTTCAGTGCTGTGTCATTCCAAATAAACCTTTGGTAATCTCCAGCAATTACCCTAATTCCTTCTGCGGAGTCGTTTGTCTTGGAAAGCTTGGTCCAGTCGGATGCACGACTTGAAACCGTGTACGTTGGAGTTGTTATTTGTGCAGAAATACGCTTGTTCCTCTGGGTTATGCTCCATAACCCGCCTCCCTTCCCCGAAACCCATCCTCCCAGTCATTGCTGGTCACTCGGCGGGCCCAGCTGCCCAGCAATCACTACAGCACAAATAACAGCTGTGGACGGAGGCCCCTGGTAGGTGCCGGCTATGACCGTCTGTGTATCACCGAAAATCTGATGGCCTTCATAATCAGCAGTTTCCTCTCCCACCAGCTCATTTTTTGGTCACTTTTCTTTCTGACATGTGTATGCTTGCAGGTAACACCGAAACAATTAGATCACCTGGAATAGAAAACTCAATGCACTGGGCCACTGTTTATAGAAGAGACTTCTTTTTTTTTTAAGATTTTTATTTATTTGTCAGAGAGAGAGCACAAGCAGGGGGAGCAGTAGAAGGAGAGGGAGACCCCCTGCTGAGCAGGGAGCCTGACACTGGGCTCAACCCCAGGACCCTGGGATCATGACCTGAGCAAAAGCAGAAGCTTAACCAGCTGAGCCACCCAGGTGTCCCCTAGAGGAGAATTCTTAAAACAATATCTTTCGTTCAATTTACTCTCTTCCGCCAGTATAATCCTGTACACAATGTAACCTGGTCAAGAATGGGCATTATCAGACATCTGAATTTGATATGTGTTTCAGACTCGTGGTGCCAGTTCTCCTGGTGGATTCCTGACTTTCAGGTTTCTTAATAGGGAAATAGCTGTTATCAACCCAGTATTTTTCCAGGGGCCAATTGATAGGGAAGTTGGACCATCACGAATGCTACTTTAGTGCAAGAAAACAACAAGCAGGGCCTGGGGCATAGCTAGTAATTCAATAAATAAATTGCAGCAATGTAAGACTGATAGTAGGAAGCCGCTCCTGCCGTTGGAGTGCGTGGGAGAGGTTAACGATGAGACTGAATTTTCAGTTCTTGTCATAAAATGCACCTGATGTTATTGAAACACAATTGCTGCCTCTCCTGGAACAGCTACTCTGAAATCCCTCTCACGCTCCCCCTTACCACCCCAAGCCCCTAGTGGTCCCCCAGGTGCACAGGTGGCAGGACACAGCTCCTTAGATAAGTCCCGCCCACACGTGTAACATTCCTAGTTGGTATTAAGCCCTTCCTAAATGGCAGGTGCTTCAGTAGTCATTCAGAGCCCTTGAAAAATATTTTAACACCAAATAAAAGTTACCAGATGATTTGTTTTAGGAATTCTCTAGATCCTGGATTTTCCAAAGCTCTGAAAATAAAGAGGAGGAGGGGGGCAGAGGATGGGAAAGAGGCCTTCTCCAGGAATGTCCACATATATGGTGTGAATTTGCTTTTGCACTCAGTGGATTTTCTAGGGGATGTGTGGCTACTAGTGTGGAAGTTCCTCCCATTTCTGTCTCTCAGTTACTTCTGACTCAAGTCCTGAGGTCACCAAACCATTGTAGGCGCATCCCCGGGTCCTGTTGGTGAATCCATAGCAATGTTTTATTCCAAATGGCCTTGACCCCAGCAAGTCCTACCCACGCCCGCTCTTTGTGTTTTCAGATTTCTCTTTCAAACCCAGTGGTGCGTGGACCTTCGAACAGTTCCAAGACCCTTCAAAAAAAAAAAAATCACACGAAGCAAGCCTGTGGTTTTTATTAAACAGACATGCTAGCTGGCATTCCCAGCAATACCATGAAGAGATTCTTAACTTATATCTGAGTGGTGCTTATAATTGCCAAGCAGGCCCTCTCTCAATCCGGATTTTTAACAGTCCCTCCGCACAACTGGAGTCCTGGGCTCCGTGCACCATGCTGTCACACTGCTGTCACCTCGGCCTCCTGCTCCTGACAGGGCGGCGACAGCGTCAGAGGGAAAGCTGCTGAGAGATCAGAGAGGGACAGAGGGCTGTGCTCAGCGATGATGCCGCCCGAGTCACCTGGAAGCCTTCCACTGGAGCTGGTGTGCCTTCCTGCGGCCCCACGGATCTTTCCAGAAGAGTCTGAGCTACCTTCAGTGTTCACCGGGAGCCCAGCTGCATAGCTCCTAACCATCACCAGCCCGACTCCGGAGATGAGCATCACGCACCCGCCCCCCTTGCAAGGTGGTACAGCCACTGTCTCCCTGGGTCTCTGATAGACGGAGTCGGGCACCTGGTGGCTTCGTGGGGAACACAGTGACCGATATTCTCTCTGCAGACTTGGAAAGCCCACAGCTCTGGGGTTCTGTCCATCCTTGACCCTGGCCTGAGACGGACCTACTGTCTCCTTATCCAGCACGGGGCACCCCCGGGGATGGCCCTGGTGGCTCAGGGGCAGCAGCCCTGGGGGCGCACAGCAAGGGTGGTCCAACGTCCATAAAAGCCACACACAGTGTCTGGAGTAAGCTAGTGGTCCGTCCAAACAGTTTGCGACTCCGCTGATAGCCTGTTCTAGGACTGCTTCGTGGTAGCATGTGTTGACTGTTGCAGCTTAAATGCTCGTTGAGACACAAACCTTCAATGGATGCAAACTGAGCCAGGTACCCTGAAGCTCTTTCAAAGGACATCTAGACTTTTCTCTTGGTTTCCTAGAATCCGGCACATTCCCAGTCACCCGGGAGCTCAGGTCCAACACTCAGGTGGCCTCATGCTTGTAGGTCAGGTCAGCGTTGTGTGTTTACCCTCCCCAGCATCAGCCAAGGAGGGGCCGCTCTTCGCTCCGGAGGAACACTTGTTAATGCGTTGGAAAGCCACAGAAAGTGGCGCAGGCAGGGGCGCCTTGGCCAAGGACACTGCCGCCTGGCAGATGGCCTCATGCCCTCCCTGCCCTGGGGACAGATACCATTAAACTCTGTGTCCGGTTCTCTGCTCTGCAGAAACCTACCAGTGACCACCAAGTGATTTTTGTGGCATCGGATGATGCCCCCAAACCTTTTCAAACCCTAAGCCCAAGAAAGTATTCTCCTGTTTTCCTGTTCTCTGGTTGTTCCCTCTCTGTCACCTTTGCTAACTTGTCTTGCTTCTCTAGTGGGTGTTGGAGAGGGGCGTTGGGTGGGCCTGCATTACCCCCAATCTCTTTGTGTGTGTGCCAGCTGTCTGGAAATGTTTCCTTTGGAGTGTGCGGTCGTGGCTTCCAAGCCCACATGTGCATTTATTCATTAAACAGTTGGCAATCTCTTGCTCAGTGTCCTTTACTGCACACGGGACCACATCACTGAGACCACTTGCATCAGTGAACTTCCTTCAAGACACCAGCACAGTGCACCCCTGAGGGCCCACCTTTCTTCTATGCCCTGGGCCTGCAAACGTGGGCGCTCCCTCCTGTGCTTTATTTTCCAGAGGACAGACCCTGCCCACGTCCCTTCCATCATAGTTGTGACCTTGCACTGTAATCCCTGCGACCTGATCTGGGAGCGATCCTCATCCCTCCAAGGAACACCTTGATTCTTGCCCCCTCGACCTCACTGCTTCCCCTCTTCCCAGTTTGTCCACAGTCCCCAAACTAGTTTACAAACCCTGATGTCAGAGTGGGGCCATTGTCCTCCTCTCTGTCTGTCTCTCTCTCATACACGCATTGCACTAATCCCCAGGCCTCTGCTTGGCTTTCGCCGCCCTCTCCCTCTTGGCCAGTACTCATCCTCTGCTTCCATCAGACGAGTCTCCACGCTGTGCCCTGCTGGCCTCCCACCACACCTCTACCCCCTGCACACCCTGGGGCAGCCCCCTTCCCTCTGGTCCCTCCGCCTTGACCAAGCCTTGCCATCAACTGGTTCCTCTGCCCGCACCCATTCAGCTCTGATTGCATTCCGTGTGAACATGATGGAAGATCCCCTTCACTCCATCCTCCGTTAACTGATAAAGTCTCCTCTGACCTTCCCTGGGTTCTGGATCTGCTCCAGGGACTTGCTGTTCCAGTGGCCCGAGCGAATAAAGGAGACACCGAGATGTCGCTGCTCAGAGACATGCAGACACACTAATCCCAGGGTCAGCACAGACCAAAACCGGAAACCGAACATCACAAGAAATGACAGACTGCTTTTGTGATATTGGAGAGGGAAAAGCTTTCTTAAAACAAACAAAACAAAACAATACAAAAACATATGTAGAATATGCGACTAAGAAAAAGTTTGACTACAAAATTGAGAAATCCTATTTAATAAAAGTACTTTAAATAAAGTTTGGACAGATGATAGAGGAGCTGAGGAATTCATAACACCCGAAAGTTACACAGAATAGAGATCTAGAAGACATAAATTCATTCAACAAGAAATTAATAACAGTAATTACTATGATCTTAATTAATTTTAATGATCTAATGCTTATTTCATTCATCTTCATTTGTATTTATAATAATAATAAATTACTGTTAACAGTAAATATAATAGTAACTGACAATCTTCATTTGCCGGACACCCTCCTTACTGTTCTGCACGTAGTGTATTATTTAATCTTCATAAACCTATGAGGTAGTTGCTGATTTTCCTTTCTGCAGATGAGGAGCTGAGAAACAGCGGTGTGAGCACGGGCTCCAGGGCTCACAGACAGGACAGGGGTGCCCGGGAACAGCGCAGGTGGCCTGGCTCTGCTGGATGCTGGAGCCTCTGCGAGCCAACTCCCCTTGGCGGCACCTAAAGGACATGGATAAGCTGGTCTCTGAGGGAGAATCTCCATGGGTGCCAGGTATGAAGAGAGCCCCTCAGCTTCCTCGTCATCAGACAGGTGCCCATCACCTCCTCAAACCACCTGACCCTGTGTGGTCGCCCTCAGGTTGGTGAAACATTAAACGTCAGGTGACAGCACAGGCAGTGTTTATACAGAACATGCATGTGTATTTCCTGGACCAGGAACTGGGGGATCAGATTCCCAGCGAAATGCTGATGCCCAGCAGCAGAGCCTCGAGGGGTGGGGGACAGCCTGGCTGTGACAGCCAGTCTGGGAGCAG